TTTTTTTGCACAGCCCTAGCTCGCTCCAGTGTCGGTTCCAGCCCCTGAGTTCGCCCCAGTGCCAGCTCCTCGTAAGCGCTTCTCAGTTCCCCCGTCGAGCCCAGGGAGGGCCCCAGATCCCCCGTTAAGCCCAGGAAGGGCTCCGGGATCACCAGTTAAGCCCAGGGAGGGCTCCAGTCCCCTGTCATGGCCCACGGAGGGCCTCGGAGCCTGCAAGCATCCCCAAGTATTTTTTTTGGGGGGGGAGTAGGGTTCCAGCCGTAGAGGCTGAGGGGGGGCATCATGTCAGGCTTGTGTTGTTTTGTTCCCCATGTGCTCCCTGTGTGCCAGTGTTTATGCCCATATTTGGTTAGTTTCCGGTTCCTGTCCTGATTATGTTGATTTAATTCCAGGTGTTCCCCATTTATTTCCATTGATCCCAGGTGTGTCTCGTCATCCCCTCGTCTTGTCATGTGTTTAAATAGTGTTCCCGGTTGTTAGTTCAGGGTCCGGTATTGTTCATGTCTACTTGTGTTACGTGAGTTTCCCGTGTTTCCTTGTTATAATTAAATCTCTTTGGATTTGTGTACTCCTCGTCTCCCTGTAGTGCAACCGTGACAACAGTATTATTACAATTTAAATTAACTGTTTTCTATTTGAATATATTTTAAACATTTTATTTATTCCAATTTGATGGTAAAGCTGAATTTTCAGCATCCATTACTCCAGTCACAAGATCCCTCAAAAATAACTGATTTGGTGCTAGAGAAACATTTGTTATTATCAGTTTGGAAAACAGTTGTGCTGCTTAAAATTTGAGGAAACTGTGATATTTTTTTAACTGATTGTTTCATGATTAGAAAGTTCTTGAGAACAGAACTTCTTTAACATTATAAATATTTTACTGTCACTTTTGATCAGTAAAATGCATTATTGCTAAATAAAAGTTAAAAAAAATTTAAATAAAATAAAAACATCTTACTGAACACATAAGAGAATACTACTTCAGTGCAAGGCTGTATTAACCAACTTTACATTGTACATTACAATATTTTGAGGCCTGATTTCACTTGTAATATTTTTGTAGGAGTAAAAGTTTGAAATGAGAGCAAAGTCTTGTTTTTAAAGACGACTATTCACAGTAGCTTCAAAAAAGAATCATTAAAGTACTGTAAAAATAGAAAATACAGCTACATTCCATGTCTTCTAAAACCATACAATAGGCTTTGTGTGAAAAACACACCAAAATGTAACTTGCCATGTCAAAAAAATGGCATGCCAGGTATAAAATCAATTGTAGTAAACGCCATTGACATACAATACAACCTATTCCACAAATAACTATCAAATTTATTTGTAGAATTTGTTCAAAAGTGTCCTTGTTCCATCGAGTAGCATAAAATAATGAGAAAAACAGCACGCTGACCTATAAACTCTTGATTGCTTTGACTGTTATCTATACTACAGACATTCAACGAAAACTTCTAAATGCATTCTGCTGGTATTGGTTTGAGATGTGTGACTCTGTAACCGCTCTGTAAGACTCTGAGGCCCTGCAAGATACATTAGCCTATTATGGAACTAAGGACAAGGGGGATTTTTCCATCGTTCCCTCTCCATGACCTAGAGGGAAGCCAGAGCAGCCTGACTTCTGCCAATCGCTTCTTATAAATGCAATTTCAGCCACATTAAAAAGTTGGTTTGAATGATATCCATGGGTAATAAATGTGCTGCTTCTGACAGACACACCAGGGTAGTCATTTACTATAGCACAAAAATATGGAAGCCTGCTGAAGAGATTGGATTTTGGAGGATGGGCTTCTAATGCTGAGATATCAAGCTGCTGCAGCTAATCTTCAGTTTCAATAAGTGCTTTGAACATTTGAGGAATTCTGGAGTCAAAGCAGGACAGACAGTTCACTCCAGAAATTGGCCTAGGCTACTTTAGGTTGATTTAAAGGAATAATTCACTCAAGAATAACAATTCTGTCATCATTTGTTCACCTTCATAACAGCTCAAACATGTATGACTGACTTTCTTCATGTTTGAGCTACTCCTTTAAACGATTCTGTGTTTAGATTCCATTCTTTTCTCCCATTCAGACACCCTCTGCTTCTGTTTCTCAAGCTCATTAATCCTGTAGCCCTGCGTGGTTCATCTCTGCCCAACCCAAGTGAAGTTGTCATGCTTTTGCCTGCACTGTAAAACAGCTGGAATTTAACTAGGGCTGAGGAAGCCAAGTGTTTCTTTCTCAAGGACAATCACATTCTGAGCAAGAATCTTAGGTCTGGATGTCTCCGAATCGCTGGTCACAATTATCCAACTAGTATAATTCATTGTGCCTGAAAATCTGTACTCTGCTTAAAGGGATAGTTCACCCAAAAATGAAAATTTGATGTTTATCTGCTTACCCCCAGGGCATCCAAAATTTAGGTGACTTTGTTTCTTCAGTAGAACACAAACAAAGATTTTTAACTCAAACCGTTGCAGTCTGTCAGTCATATAATGTAAGTGAATGGGAATCACGGCTTTGAGAGTCAAAAAACATACACAAACAAAACCAAATTAAACCCTGCGGCTCGTGATGATACATTGATGTGTAAAGAAACTGAACAGTATTTATATCGTTTTTTACCTCTGATTCACGCAGTGTCCGAACTGTCCTGACCACGTTCACGTCTTCTTCAGCCGGCGCGTGACGCGTCTTCTCCTTCTTCTTGCTTTATGGCAGATCGCAGATTTATAAGTGCATTACCACCGCCTATCTCTCAAATGGACCATTGACACTCTATCTACAATCTCAATTAGGAGTGTCAATGGTCCTTAGACGCGTCATGCGCCGACTGAAGAAGAAGATGCGAACGCGTTCAGGACAGTTTGGACATTGCGTGAACCAGAGGTAAAAAAAACTATATAAATACTGTTCAGTTTCTTGCACAGACTGATCGTTTCGTGTCTTTACACATCAATCTATCGTCACGAGCCGCAGGGTTTAATTTGGTTTTGTTTGTGTATGTTTTTTTGACTCTCAAAGCCGTGATTCTTATTCACTTACATTATATGACTGACAGACTGCAACGGTTTGAGTTAAAAATCTTTGTGTTCTACTGAAGAAACAAAGTTACTTACATCTTGGATGCCCTGGGGGTAAGCAGATAAACATCACATTTTCATTTTTGGGTGAACTATCCCTTTAAACAAATAAACTAGTGATCTACAGTAAAAAGAAAGGCTAGTCACACCATGAATGATAACTTTAATGATAACTATAAGGTTTTAAAAAATAATAGTGGAATCACTTTCAGAATCACCTTTTTTCCAGCTGATGAACAGTGTTGGGGAAAGTTACTTTTAAAAGTAATGCATTATGATATTGCATTACTCCAAAAAAGGAAGTAATTGCATTCGTTACTTTTTATGGAAATTAATGCATTATGTTACTTTTTGCGTTACTTTTTGTCACCTGGGCTGGGCTCGCTTATTTGTTTTTTAATAACAAAAAATCCAAAAGTTAGATTCATATTTTTAGATTTTTAAAGGCTCTTTCACACCAAAAGGAAGTGCCTCAGCCTCAGTCCCAACACAATCCCAATCCCAAGTGTCATTGAATAAATGGGAAAACAAAGTAACTTGCATTACCTATTTGAAAAAGTAACTTCATTGTAAATTTAAAAGTAATGAAAGTAATCTAATTACATAACTCGAGTTACTTGTAGTGTGATACCCCCAACATGAATAATAAAAACATTGAAAGTCAGCCAAAATCCACCTAACTTTAAATAATAAATATAACATTATAGCCATTTGGTGGGGATTATACTATTGTTCTAGTTTTCCTTTTTTTCGACTTTTGGCATGATTACTCTATGATGGTCATAATGTATTTTAGCTCTATTCATCTCATGGAAAAGCAAGATTCCTGTATATATTCTGAAAAATTGGCCTATATGTTGGCATTGCATAATAAAAATTGTACAAAGAAAAGAAAACACTTTTCTAAATTTGCAGCATGAGAACACCCAAGGTCAATAGAACAGGCAGCAAACAAACTACAAAATAAAGCGTCTCACAGAGAATGCCCATGAGACTGAGTCTAGACTAGTTTTGACAAAGAATTATGTTTGAAATCAGAAGGTCAAGCTCTCTTTGAGTTGGTCTTGCTCAATGATGTAATTAAATTCAAATGGGTTTACTGGATCTTTGCTCATCTTGATAACTCCTGACAACTCCGCCTAATCCTCCCCACCCTCTTCCGTATGATTTAAAGGAAAAGATAAAATGATTACTCACAACAGTAAGAGGCTAGTTTTTAAGAGCCTGGTTTTTATCATTGCTAGCTCTCTAACGCTGTGTTCAAATGTTTGGCAACCTTGTCTACAGACATAGTTCATAACATTGGAAGATTCAATGTTCAAACTCTACTGCACAAGGCTACGAGATACGCTAGCATGAACAGTTTGCACTAAGTTTGAACATTAACAGCATTAGCAAGGACATTAATCTGGGAAAACAGAAACCAAAGGGATAAAAACAACACTCAAGGCTTTCTTTCTACACTTTCAATTGTTACTGTCAATCTCTACATTCTACATGAACTCTTAACTGTGTGACCCCTGATCCATTAGCACACGTTTCAACCAACAAACCTCTCATGCCTATCTCATGGACATTCCAGATCAATCTGGCCACCATCGCAGAGATCTACTGGCCAGAAAACTGGCCATATGACACCTCCAGGTGGAGCCAAGAATGAGACTGTAGCTTTACAGGGAGAGAGGGATGTCAGAAGAGGAAACCAGGGGATCTTAGGACAAAGACCAAAGGAGGGGTTATACATCAAAAAGGAATAAAGTATCTGAAAAGATGAGGCAGCTAAAAACAGACCTGCTTGACATTTTGCATCTGAAAGCATTCATGTGTGGAGGCAACTCTACGTGTTTGTGGTTTGTGTATACACAAGCTTTAGCCAATAAAAACCACGTGGTAAGCCAATTAGCTGCAGTGTGTGTGAGGGACTCACCGCTTTCGCTCTTCTCGATTACGTCCACCGTCTCTCCAGCCTTCAGGCTGATCTCGGAGTTCTCCTGCCGCTCGTAGTTGGCCACTACCACGTACTGCTCCAGCACCATAGGCTCACTGCTGTCCAGTCCTGCCGGCAAAGGGAAGAAACAGGCTGTCAGCCACCGTCCCGCCATCCCCGCACTTCCCCCGCCAACCCTGCCCTGCCAGCGACCTCCGGCTTGACCCCTGTACACCGCCATCCGCACTCCTTAGCCTAGCGCAAATCAAACTCCTGCTGACTGTGCATGCTCCGCAATGACGGGCCATTTAGACGAACCTTCGCCCTCGCTGGACACGCATTTGACTGGGGGGAAAAGACGATTACAAAAAAGCAAGGCGAGGTAGACTTCCTTCAGGGACTCGAGAGCTCGATAGGGTCGTGGTGATGCTGGGTCTCCATAATACAGTGAAGTTTTTTGGGAGGAAACGGAGGGATGTAAGGAAGGGAAAAGAGGCTGGAAGAGAGCTGTTTACGGTAGGGGACGTGACTCGCAAGTGGAGGGATAGAAAGTTTTTCTTCAACAGACGAGCAAGAACAGGCCTCCCTCATTCTCTCTCTCTCTCTCCGTCCCTCCTCCCATCTGGCTGAAACGGGGAGAGAGAAAAACGCCAATCAGGATAGACTGCTCTCCAAGCCTTAAATAGAAACATATGAGTGGGCCGAGTAAAGAGAGAGAAGCTGTGTTTATGTGAAACGCAAAGAGAAAGCATTTCAGCTAGGTTTAAGCCACGCTCTCTTTCTGTATACGTCTCTCTTTCTTTTTGTATTTCCTCTGACAATCTCTTTAACCTGTTCCTCTTCATCATTCAGCCAAAAAAGAAAATTCTGTAATTATTTACTCAGCCTTATGTTGTCCTAAACCTGCATGACTTACTTTATTTTCTAAAACTCACGGTAGGATTTCCATAATTCTAGTGTGTAAAAATCTATTTCAAATAAATTCTGTTCTTTTGAACATTCTATTCATCAAAGAATCTTGGAAAAAATATGTATCATGGTTTCCACAATAGTATTAAGCAACTATTTTCAACATAGATAGGAATGTTTCTTGAGCAACAAATCAGCATATTACAATTATTTCTGAAGGATCATGTGACACTGAAGATTGCTGTTGAATATTTAGCTTTGCCATTGCAGGAATAAATCACACTTTTATATATTCAAGTAGAAAATTGTTATTTTAAATTGTAATAATATCGCACATTTTTTTTATTCTTTTTACTCTTTTTTTTATTAAATAAATGCAGATTTGGTGAGAATAAAAGCTGAATTTACACTGCACCAATGGATGCAGACCAATGACAATAGTCACCAGATTACAGTACGTTGCTTCTCAGACATTACAACCCCCCCCCACACACACACACACACACAAAAAAAAATTGTGATTCAACATGTTCAATCAGCAAAAACAAGTGACAACCAACACCAATATACTACAACAGGGTTTAAAAAAAACATTGATTTGACAAAACCGGACAAACATGTCTGTTGCTGTTTGTCCGCATCTGTCAGTGCCATAAGAGACTTCTTTCAAATAAATTACAAAAATCTAACTGACTCCAGACTTTTCAGTTTTTGTAATGTATTTTTCATTGAATATCCTGTTTAACTCAGAAGTATATCATATTACGGCAATAAATATACTGAACATGCTGTTTAATGTTGTTTTTAAACTAAAATATCCAAAGTATAACACATCAAATGTTTCTGGCTCATGCATTCCAAGACATTCTGCATATAGTTGCTAAAACTTCAAACGCTCTATTTGTACTTCTGAGAACTATTTTTGTAGTTTTGTTATATGTGCTTGAACTTCAAACTCTGTGGTTGTCTTCTCTCTGTTTTTCTCATGGTGTGGTCTTCTGGAAACTGGAGGCTTTTAATAGGAAATGTTTCAAATGTTCTTACAGAAACATGAAATGTATCATATTTTTTACATTTGCTGTACCTCATGCAAGCACACATAAACACTTACTATGGTGTTAACGTCTTTTTTGGACACAAACCATGGTAAATCATGGTATACCATGGTATATGAATATACTATGATATTGGCATTTGATGTTTAATGTACCATAAAGATTGCTCATTCATAAAGCAATTAATTCATATTATTGAACCAAATCATGACTTTTTGTACCAACCAAATCTAACATAAAATCAGGTATTGTATTCCGTCAACGTCAAGCTGTCATGTGTTTTAACACTATGAGCTTTTAAATATGGATTACTGGGGAATCCTTTGAGTGCAGATGCTCAGTGCTGTGAGGAGAGAGAGCGCGGTAGTTCTGTATCTTGTCACTATCACCATCGGCATGGAACAAACTAATTAGCGATGCCTCACACTTCATGGCGCCATGCCATGCTAACATGAAAGCATACTGTATTGCTCAACTGAATGCTTGCAGCTGTGCTGACGCGAACTGTGAAATATATTTCTGACATTTTAACGCTGTTTGTGCCAATCGCAGAAATATTTCACTTCAATGTGACAATCTGCTCATTCCAAACTTCCCATTAGCATCCGTTTACTGTTAGCTTAACCCTGCGGAAAAATCCATCATAATAATCCGGTAGCTGTGGTTTCTTGCTGCTCTAAACTGGACATTAGCTAGTCCATGATGGTTAGCTTGGACTAGCAATAAACAAGCTACATTAGATGGAACATGGAAGGTCGACCAGCCACAAAAAACTGATTTGACTAGCTAATGACCAGCTGGGACAAGTTAGAAACCACCTTTCTTAAGCCGGATTATGAAATGTTTTTAGAAAGCATGTGCACAAGCAAATGAGTTATATAATCAGTCTGTTTTCTTTATTTTGCAGTAAATTGACCAATTATGTAGGGTGCGTGCGACGATCATGGTGAAAACACGCTCCACATGGGCTATAGTTCTGTGAGCGTCAGCATTTATTTCCGAAAACAGAGCGCATTCTTTTCTGAAATGTTTATTTGGAGGCCGTCGTCCGTAAGACTTCCCAGGAGAGCACTGAGGAGAGACCACAATCTCTCATGTCATGTTTTACATCCTCCGTTTTCACACTGAATGTCTTCCTCTTCACTGCTGGCCTTACAACACCTAAATATTTCGTCTTCCAGGATCAACTTTATAAGCCACAAGTAAACCTGCAGACCTATGAGATCTTGCTCTTAAAAATAACTGTTCAGTTAAAAAAAGAGTTTTACATCCTTATGTAAATCTCTTAGGAGAATATTTTATGCCTCTTTAGCCAGTTAAATTCCCATAGTCATGCCCATATACACAACACTTGCAGCCTATTGCATGGACTTGTCCTAAATTAGTCATAGTCAATTAGTAAATTAGTCATATTTACCATTATTAATTTCAAAAGTTAAATTCTGGATTGCTTACATCAGACTCACAGTTATATCGCGATTAAAGTCGTGTATTATGTTGCATTTCCTAATAGAGTTACCAGCCAAATGGTGATTAATGGCTTTTCATGTCTTCGCCAAAGTCAGTTTTGACTCATACTTGGCACTTGATGAGTGTTAATTTTGGACCGTGGGTAAGAGCTGTTTTAGGAACCGTTCTTGTAAAAATGAGAAAATGACCACATTGAAGACTCGCAAAAGGAAAAGAGACAGTGCATGCACACATATACAGCATATCTACCTGAGGCCTCAGATTTGGTTGGACTGTCCTGAAGGCCATACATCCAAACTGAGGGCAGCGGAAAAGAGAGGAGAGGGAAAAAACAGAGGAAAAAAGGAGAATAAATGTTAGTCAGAAGAGAGTGGAAAAAGACACAACAGCCAGCATTGCATGTTGTCTTCAAAGCAGCGAAATCCAGCCAAAAGTAACAATTTATACGCACTGCAGTACAGCTCACTTCCTTCAAATCTGTGATTTGTGCACAGGCCATTAGCATTAGTTTTGAGATTAGCGTTATTCCTGTAAAGTTTGCTGATGATAGCAAACTTTAAATAATTTAATGCAAATAGAAATTATATACATTATAGAAAATGAAGCCCATTTAGGGCCATAATATAATTTAGAGATGTGAATTTCTATATATTTTTTAATTTTATATATATCTTTAAAAAAAATCTATTTTTTAAATCTATTTAAATATTTAAGTGACTTCATAATAGTGTTGCACTAAATTTTATTTATACTGTTTTTAATTTTAAAATATTGACAGCACAATATTGACAATATTTAAAATGTATTTTGTTTGCAAACGATGCACGTTATTTTCTCTTTTTTTTTTATAGGAAACTTGCTTTTTACAATAAAACTTAAATGTGACTTGTTTATAAGACGTCTTCATTTCAAGCAATGTGTGCTTTGATTTCAATTGTTCAAAATATTCAACAAATAACCATCAAGAGTTAGTTTCCTTAAATTATTTTAAAATCACAAAGATAAGAAATGCACTCTTTCATTAGAAAAAATATCCCACCGTTAATAGCTGAGTATATTTCCACTACAAACCTTTAATAAACTATGAGGCCAAAAATAATAAATACATACATACATAAATAAAATAAAAGAATCGTTCATTAAATGTAATCAAAAAATGTTTAATTAATCGAGATTTAGATTTTAGGTCATATTGTCCATCCCTATATAGTGATGAGCTTGGCATTTGTTCACATTAATGCAAATTTTGTAACAAATAAACAAATGCTAAGCTCATCACTGTAACTCAGCAATCAATATTATTCTGTCAATAAGATTTTTTATTTTTTTATTAAAAACTGTATAAATAAAATTTAGTGCATAGTATTATGTCACTTAAATTTTTTTCTTACAAACAGGCTTTATTGACTTTATGCTAAATATTTTTTCCAAAAAAATATATTTTTTTCAGGCTTTTTTTTATTTTTTATTCCGCTGTGTAACACATCTCACCAGTATAACTGGATTTGCCAAATACCCCATACCAGATAAATGGCAAATAGTTCAGTGAACAACTGAAGAGTTATTAAGCAAGGCGCCATCTGGTTACAATACCCATAAAGCATCACATGCTGTTGAAAAAAAATGTGCGTGTGTGTGTCTGCTCTGACAAATCTATTGCTTTTAAAGCAAGTATGTCTGAGTTTAAGGGTGTGAGGTCACAGCAGAGTTTCCTAATATCTTCTCTTTTATCACACACACACACACACCAATCTCCATCAGGAAATTAAATGTCACACGTCACTATCGGTAAAAATATGAGAAGGCACCGGGGAGACGTCTCGGCTGACAGGAACAATTACTTTGCTTCTATAACTTATTTCTTTTCAACGCTTCAATGGACTCCCCACAAAGGCACGCATGCCACCAAAAAATGAGGTGTAATATAACCTCTGTAAACAATGAACACACTCAGCAACGGCAGAATTCAAGATGTAGGTACTCGCTAATGCCATGGTGATATTAACAGCCCTTTTTGACTTCAAAGGAGAATTAATAACTACAACCATTTCAGATCTAAGTTTAAAATTCTATGCTAAATTAGCATCAATAAACATTAGCATTACATATTAATTTTATTGGAGAAAATGAAAAAAATTAGCAAAACTATCAAAACAAATATAATTTGGTAAGTAGGGATGTCAGAAGTACCAGTACTTTGATACCAAGATGACATAAAAAAAATAATACAATTAAAAATGTATAATAAATAAATGTACATTTCTACAGCATTTGTTGAACTCATTTCAGTACTTGTGCAATGTCTGAACAGTCAAATGCAAACAGATGGTACAAAAATACTCATATTTGTATTATTAATTAAACAACAGTATTAATGAGATTTTTTTTTTAACTATTCATGCACAAATCACTCATGCACTTTATTTCTGACTGTTCGCTTCAAACAATTACTTGGAAAAACTTGAAGCAAGGTAGAACATATGTCTACTGCCATTGAACATTTTTTATACTTGTATTAACCCTAATAATTAAATATAAGAGTTGTTTTAATAGTCTTTTAGATGCTATTGAATATAGCTTTGGTATTGAAATTGGTATATCATGAATTGTTTTTGTGGGTGTCAAACTTCTGATGAACCTGCACTTTCCAGCTCAGGGTTGATCTTGAGGTCAACTGTACTTCCCTACAAAAACTTCATGGGGTTTGAATTAAACTGACTCAAATGCCTTGGAGGTCAAATCCTTTACTAATGCTCCACACCCCCGTGCACAGATCCATCCCTTTAGCGAAGCTCCTCACATCTGACAGATATTAACTTTCCACCTCTCTGACCCTTCCTTCACACAGAAACGCTAAAACACTCACTGTTATGAACATATACTCAATCTCTCACACTCCCACCCATGATAAATAGACACACACGGCATTGCTCACACACACACAGACTCACACACACTCACACACACTAGTGATTAAGCTCAGGTCAGCGGTGTTAGAACCGAGTGAACGTCTGTTTTGGTTTCTCTCACTGTAATTTACGCCTCTTTCCTGACCCCAAAGAGTCGACCTACCTCCATTACAGGAAACATATATGTGTTTCTTTCTGAGAAATAACCATAGACATATCTGAAGAAAAACACAACACCTATTTGTTATCGACACTCTTAGATAGGACTTGTGCATTATGGACATCTTTAAAAAAAGAGAGCGACCCTTTTATCTGTTTGGTTTTAGACAGCTCTTGGCATGGGCACACTGGAGATATTATGGTCACTATGAAAAAGACAGCTATGCTGATTTGAATATTATGAACTGATCCAGTTGTTGGCTATGAAAGCTCAGCAAGTAGACCACAAAATCAAGAAAACATCAACAAATGAAAATCAAACCTTACGCTGACTGTGTTTTGGCAGAGAGGTCACATGAGACAGAAACACATGCTAAGCAACATGCATCTATTTTTGTATCTATGTGGTACTTTTAAAAAAAGATTACGCCCAGGGGTTGAAAAAACTGAAATTAAATTTCCATTATTATTTTGCCTTTTATGTACAGATTTCATTGTTTTAGCCTGGTTCTAGACACAGACCAGTATTATTTTAGAACTATTTATTGTAGTTTTTATTCATATTCTGAATTAGTTTTCATTTTTAAGTTTTCCATTTTAATTTCAGTTTAATTGTTAGAAATTGTATGTGCTTTTGTCCTTTTTATTAGGGTATAAAAAAATAATAAAAATAAATAAATACATTTATATATATATATATCTTCATGTAAATATTTATTTTATTTTATTTTATACACGAGTCAAAGCAGACCCATTTTGGTGTCTGTCTCAAATTAAATAAAAAACATTGTTTTACATGCATAGAAAACATTAAGTGCAAGTAAGTGTTTACTTTAATTTGTTCAACTTTTGTGAAAATAAAATGTCAAAATATGGGTGAAATAACCTTCCATCCTCATTCAGCATTATAGATATATTTATGCAAAAATGAAACAACACTTATTCTGACCTGTACTTATTAAAATATATAAAAGAACAAGTGATCATACTAAATTTTACTATATTTAAATGACTAAAATCTTTTTGCTGACAAATGCCTAAAACCTAGATTTGAAGAACAGGAGCAAAGAGCAGTAAATATTTTATATTATTATAAATTAGTATTTGGGGGCTGCACTGTGATCCTTTTAATGTCATCTAATGGTTCTTGTTCAAGATATGCCTGTATAGTATGTATGTTTTATATACAAACTATTGTTACACTGAATTACATTTTTATATAAATCATGATAAAAATGTATAATAGTCATTATATTTTACTCAGAAAAAAATATATAATAAACAGGGCACATTCTAATGTATGAAAAAAAAAATAAAGCTGTATTAAACCTTTTAAACTTTTTGGTGCTTGAATACCCCTTTTCATCTTTGACCCATACACTAAGAAATGCAGCTTTTCTATTATTTATAGTTTTCACAGCAATAAAACTATTATTTTTACAATAATTACATTCATCAACTTCATCAAATAGCCAAACATGCTTAGAACAAATTGGAACTAAACATCCTGTCATTTTCCAGTAGCTAACATCTCTAATCAGTCAAACTGCATTCATTAAACGCCATTAAAAAGGACTTTTTAACCATAAAACCACACTGACCTATTTAAGCCCATTCCTTTCAATGGAACAGCAAACATACACCACACATACATACGGCAATTCCTCTCAAACTAAAACTATCCCTCCTCCCCTGAAACTCCCATCTGTTCCGCACGCCTCTCTCTCTCCGTATGGCCCCTCCACTCCTCCACAGAGCCCTGAGTCTTGTGTAAACAAGATTAGCTAGTCCGACGTCACACTGAACCCACTCTGCCACGTCTGACTGACCCCATTCCAGCAGAACCCCACAACCCCCCCCCCCCCTTCCCACATACATACGGCAATTCCTCTCAAACTAAAACTATCCCTCCTCCCCTGAAACTCCCATCTGTTCCGCACGCCTCTCTCTCTCCGTATGGCCCCTCCACTCCTCCACAGAGCCCTGAGTCTTGTGTAAACAAGATTAGCTAGTCCGACGTCACACTGAACCCACTCTGCCACGTCTGACTGACCCCATTCCAGCAGAACCCCACAACCCCCCCCCTCCGTTTTTCCCCTCTCCACATCTGAGTCTCATACGAGGAGCAGAATGAGGAGAACTGCAAGTAAAGCGTGTCCTTTCCTCGCCAGGGTAGACAGGAAGACATCTGAACAATCTGAGAGGAGTGTCTGTAAAAACATCCAGGTG